CTCAATTTTATAGCAAACTCAAAAGCGACTGCTTCTTGCGGATTTCGTAGTCCTCTTCCAACATCCTGTGCATTTTCAAATTTGTATTTCTCGATGATATATTTAATATCTATATTCCAAAAGGGTTTGGCATAGCCGCGCTCAGTGGAAGCATCCAAATAGCACTAATTAACTCAAACTTCGATGATCTGCCTTCAGCTTCTGTGTGAAGATTCCAGGTAAATAAGACCGAGATTTTGAACCAGGGTACAGGATGCTCCGGCGAAAGCACAGAACAACCTGTGCTTCATTTCTTAACTTTAAAAATTCAGACAGCCATACACGAGATTCGGGTGGGAATCATCAGAACGGTTCTTAAAACTTAGTTCTAAAAGTATAATCGATTATTTGCGTTATCATTCCCTGTATCTGAATTCTTTAACAACGCATTTATTGAGAATTCTTCATCAGTTCAGTATGAAAAGGTACAAAAAGGCATCGGAGGCACACCTTATAAGCTATTTAAAGCTCAAAAAACACTGGGCATTTGTAGAAAGTATCAGGTCGAACCGCTTATTCACCACCGTTTTATAGGATCAGGTAAATCTACTTTCTGCATTTCACCTATCTGCACAAACTCCTCATCCCACATAGTGTGCAACTACTACTACAAGAGAGACAGAGCTGACTCAACAAAAAAACTCTGCCACAAAAAATTCTAGCCAAAAACAACGTCAAAAAAATGACAAACCTTTTTCCCTTCCTTTCCTCTTCTGTTGTCCAAAAATAAAGTAACTTTTAAGGCTAACCGGAAAGGACGAGAAGATCAGAAGCAAAAAAATAGTGGACTAAATTTAAAAACAGAAAGCAGAGATACCTGAACCATCGACAAAGAATACTGGAAATATGCAAAAAAAAGCCCTGAGTCCTAAAAACAAAAAGTATCAAATTTGTGATGCACAAACACCGGATGTAAGGAGAAAAAATGGCTTGTTGGATCTATGATCTGGACAAACAGATTTAGTTCGGAGGATTACCTAGCTCTGCTCAATAAGTGATAAAGATTTTGTACTTTTCACGAAGATATGCTTCGGAAGGTACTGAAAATAAGAGACAATCTTTTCAATGACTGGGCTGCTTTGAGTGAAATTCTTTGTAACCAAAAAATTTTAAAAAAAATGATTTACTGCTGAACGGTGACGAATTAGGAGCTTTTTTCACAAAAAACAGAGAAGTACCATTTTGGAAAAACTGTTGGGGGGAGGGCAGCTTCTCAGTACAAACAACAAATGATATGTACATGGAGCAGGCCAAACACCGGCACACAACAAATTAATCCACAAAAACGTAATATTCCCTTTTATCTGCAGGCCGTATCTCATCGGAAGCTTCTACAAACTCATCCATGTCAGAATCTATATCGGCTGTATCTGTTGTTTCAGAATCCTCATCACTCGTGGCTGGCTCACTACGCTTGCCTTCCTCTTGCACCTCCACTGCTTTTACTTCCTCTTCTTTACTCTCGTCTGCCGAAGTCTGTGTCACCACTGGTGCAGCTTGCTCTTCTGCCTTTTCTTCTGCTGGTATTTTGCTGGCCTCAACTTCTGCTCGCCGTTTTTCTAACTCTTTTGCCGCATCATGCACCTAAAATTTTGTCCTATAAGATTTGTCCTAAATTGAAGAAAAAAAAAACTGTACTAAATTGTAAAATTTTGCCCTAAAATTCCGTCCTATAAAACTTTGCTCTAAAATTTTGTCCCATTAAGTGCTATAAAAAATATATTTAAAAAAAAGCTAAAGAGGGAAGCGTCAGTAGCTGGTCGTTCATTGATATGGTGAGACGCTCGCGAAAAGCTGACAAAATCTCACAGCAACTTCACATATTGTTTTTGGGTAGGTGCTAAAACCCAACTTGGCTCGACCGCGCGATATGCACTCCTTTTTGGTTTCGGATTCGAACTGCGAAAATCATGGCACCGGGTTTTTTTGTCTAAGAAAAGTTTCAAGTATCGCCTTCAAGATTTGCCATATTCTTAAAAACTTCTTTTAAAAGAACGATGCAAATTTACTGCAAAACTACCACTGCTAATATATTGCCTCAAATACTAATAAATTTTGCACTTTTTTAGGAGAAAGTTCAAAAATTTCAACCCAAAAATGCTAAAACCTAAAACAGTGATTATTTTGAAGGATCTCGTTAACAAAAGAAATGCCTGGAATAATAATAATAATAATAATAA